AGGACTGTGCCCAGGCTCGGCGGCGAGTGCTTGGGGAAGAGCACCCATATACGCTATCGTCTTTGGCCGCTGTTGCTAAGTGGAGTAGCTAGTTATTTTCGTTTATAAGGAATCCGGAATCACCATAGTACGTATATGAGTGCATAATTTGCAGTTATCCCGTCGTCACCCTTTGTATTGTCTGCCAACCTTAAACTCGCTTCCTGTGACGAACCGTTCCAGACGTCAACTCTGAAAGGGTTCACTAGACGAAGTTTGGTACAAGGTCGATAGGTTCGGTGAAGCCAAAAGGTTCACAACAAGTGCAAAGCAGATATCTCAATAGTATCTTGGTGAGAGTACTAAGATGTATTGCTTACTGAGGAAGTCCCAGACTCCCTCAACGAGTGACTAGCTAGTTGTATATATATACATCTTGGATCACCTTTACTCGTGTGATCCCTTCATTGTAGGCTTACCCTCTTGGCTGTGATCCGTTTGCCCTTGGATCACTGGGTCACCAGTGATCCCTATGGTTTCTGGTGAGCCGTCGTTCTGGGATCACTATGCCAAGCGTGATCCCTCCCTGATTGGCTCCGTGGCGATTGGTTGCCAGTGCGTCTTTCGCCCCACCCGGCTGCATTTAGGGCTGGATCGTGACACTTCCAGTGAGCCGCAAGCCAAAAGCGGCTAGTGGATTCTCGGCTGGACCCAGTTTTGGAGCTTACTGACTTGTAGCTGTGCGGAGCTGGTACTAGCGCACAGTGTCAGCGACAGCCCAAGGGTGGAACTGGCCCGTGCGGAGAAAGTTTGAACCAGAAGATTCTGGACACTATTTTCGGTCCTTACTGTACTTGCTTGCTTGCTTTGCTTGAGCTATCCATGAGCTTTGCCTCGTTTGCCTTCGCATGCTTCCACTTCATGCCCCCACTTCACGCTTCACGCTTCATGCTTCATGCGCACAAATCCATTCATCCCACCCCATCATCTCCTCGCCTCATTTCCATCCCATCTCACACCGCCATACCACTACCGAGTCGTGTCGTCGCGAGGCAGCATCGCAAGGAAACGAGGCAAGGAAACGAGGCAAGGAAACGAGGCAAGCTGCAAAGAAACGAAAGCTACCTGAGCTATTACTGACTCGGGCTCGGGGTGTGAAGTCAAACTGTATGGACCCTTCCATACCTTCTCGCCTTCTCGTGCTTCTATTTTTATGAGTCTGTCCCTGCAGTCCACGCACCCTAGCAAGGAAGCATCGAGTCGTGTAAACACAAAGCTTGACAAGCACCAGCAGGCAAGGAAAGGTGCTGCTCCAACTCCGACAGGTCCACGTCGTTCTGTTCATCCAGGACAGCACAGCACGGCAGCAGAGCACAGCACGCCAGTACAGAGTGTACATACAACACATCCTCCAGCAGAGCAGAGCAGAGCAGGGCCTTCACAGGGTCTTTCACAGGGGTTGTGTTATTCCAACAGCCAACACTGGACAGAAAGGACTAAGAAAAAGACGTGTCACTGGTATCAGACCATGGATCCCATCCCTAGCGAACTCCGGGTTCAACACGGAGTACGCATGTAGTGTAAATATCCAAACCGACAGGGGCGTCAAAAATGTAAGCAAAATAACTCCGACCCGCACAGCACAGTAAAGCAAAAACGTACGCAGGTCCGGCCGGGGGCGGAGCCGGGGGGCACGTGCGTGCGCCGGGGCTCAAGTCCGGGCGTTGCGTTTCCACACTCCACTTTTCGGAGACCTCTCCGTCGTCCAACGGCTTCTCCGCGATGCGTTTGCTCGAGGTACGCCATGCCATGCAGCAGGGCAGGGCAGAGGGGCAGCAGGGCTGTAACTGATACACGACTCGCCGACTCGCTACACGACAGTCTACGTTTCGGGGCCGGCCGGGAACAAAGCACAAGCATGAACCCCCGCTGCGTTGTCGCCTTCTCCTTCCTCTTTCCCCGGGTCTCCCGGTCTCCGCTACTAGCGGTCCGGGGTTGAGTTGTATGTACCTATTCTCGAACTCCCCGCCCCCGGCCATGCGGCTCCTTGCTATGTGTGTACGTGGACGTTGTTGATGAGGCCATGATGAGGCATGCAACGGCGAGAAAGAATGGGGTGAAGGGGGGCTGGAACAGTCTATGGAACGGCAGAGCAGGTCATGGAAAGAAGATGGAGCCAATTGCTTCATGATGATCGCCCCAAGCTCCCGAAGATGACCGCAGCAAGAGAGCTTCTTCCCCGAACAGGACTTGCGGTCCTTGATGCTCGATGTTTGAAGCTGGGGCAAGGCATGGAGAACCCCGGCATCGTGGGAACACGTTTTCAAACTCTCAAGCCGTTGGGGGTTGTGAGGGTTTCGACTGGGCTGGACAGCCAGGGTTGTTCGAGTCGGTAGGTTAGTTTCCATCCCATTCTATCCACGAAACAATCCACATTCACCAACGTGGGAACTCCTAGGGCAGCGAGCTTGCAGCCGTTGGGCTGTTCGCTCATGTGACAACGGCTTTAACGCATGCAGAGTCGAGCGCATTTCGGCACACCGCCGCGGTCTTTTTGCTGCTTGACGGCCCGCTTCTTTGTTTATCCTCCCATCCTCGATCGGACACGCATCCAAGGGACGGAGATCGAGGAGGAGAGAGACAACAGGAAGAGAGACAAATCAACCAGTCCCAGGCATTGTGTGGTTCGACCTTGCAGAGATGCAGAGAGATCGATTCACCGGAACCTGTGGGTCTGCAAGTGCAAAGCCAGAGTTAGCTGCGCTTGCTGCGATTGCTCCAACTTGCTTGCATCGGCCGCCGGCCGCGATCTTTGGAACAATAGCCCGCCGAGGATCAACCGCGTGTCACCAAAACCCCACACCCGTTCCTGAGCCGCGACCAACCAGAGAGAGCATCTTGAGAGCCCGATTCTGAGTGGCCCAACTGAGCTCTTCACCGCCAGATCTGGGACTCTTCCAGCTCCGAGGGCGGGACCCAATCGAAGGTCCTTGAGTCCAGAAGCAATGCGTCTTGGAGAGGGGAAGAGCATGCAGGGCACCGGAACCCAAAAATCGCCCGCGCACCATCCCAGTGGCCCGTTGTGAGACGCCGGGAGCTGCGAGCGGTTGTTGGTGATACCAATGACGACGACGACGATGCTGCGAGATGATGGGGCTCGGCCGTTGGCGAGACTGCGGCGATGGCTGATGGCAGCCCGAACGAGCGCTAAATGCGCTAATGCAAGCACTTTAAAGCACTCACCTCGCTGCGCGCGCCGGATCCACACTCAGGCCAACGCCCATCGTGCAGCGCCATGGACCAGAGTGCCCTTCTCAGAGACACACCACAGGAGATCAGGAGTGTCTGCGCCCGTTGAGTGGAGGGTGACAAACTCTCGATCGACCCTCTGTTTCGACTGGGGCGCTTCCATGGCCACAATCTCCCCACCGAATGCCCCGGTGCCCAGTGCGGGGGACACCTCCGTGCCGTTGCGCAGGTCAGACTCGAAGCTGAAAATGTGGTCGTCATCGGCCGAGATGAATGCAGTGTACAAGAGGACGAGCAAACTTGAGCATCTAGCCGCATTGGGCAAAAAGGACGAAAACGAAAGAAAAGGTGGGTCATGCGCCGTCCACTTTCCGCACGCGTCGACGGGAAGGCTGTGCCTGAGAAGGGTGTCATCGTCGACGGCCGCCATCACGGGGCACAGACAATGGAATGCGACCTGCTGTGCTGGTTCTGTTTGTTTGTCCCGAATACCGTCACCGACCGGCGAGAGGGAGCCGGGCCGCACTGCCTCTTCTGGGAGGTCGCCGGGCGTCCTCGGCGTCCCAGCAGACCGGGAGCTCGGATTCATCAAGCGTGCCTAGATGATGACTTGCTTGCGAGCTTGCCTCTGCCTTGCCATCAGGCAACTGATCACACAGGAGATCATCGCGGGACAGAAAGAAGCCGATGACAAAAGCAGCCAGGTGCGTGAAAGATGTGCACGCGCACACGCAGGTGCAGGCTGCGACGCTCTGTGACTCTGTGACTTGCAGAGCCTAGCGGTCAGATGTCAGGAGAACCGAAAAAGAGAAGGGCCGGTTTTCCGACTTCCAGAAGCCGTTGCCGAGCCCTCCTGTGTGCAGTGGTGCACCAAGTTCATGCCCAGAATGGAGCCGGCTCGGGGCTGAGAAGGCACTCATGCAGCAAAGCAAGTCTCAGGGATGGCAGGGTTGTTGGGCTGGGCTGAAAAGAGGTGCAGTGGAAAGGAGGGTGGAGGAAGCTCGGGATGTGAGCTGGTGCCAGAGAAAGGAGGAATCCGAGAGCGGGGTGATAATTATGGGTCGGAATATTGAACGTACAAGCCAATCAGAGCCGGATGTCAATACACACCATTGGTCGTTGACACTTTTGAAGGTTCCGAGTCGATCTTCAACTGACAGGAGACACAGCCTCGCAATATCAACATGGCGACGAGGGAGAGGGGCCTCGAGGATGGATGCCTTGCGGTGACATTTGAGAGGAAATACTACCACCGGGGAGGTGCTTTCATCAAGAGGAATCTACGACCGAGGGAATATCGAATCGGCTATCGGGGTCTCCACATACCCCGACTTGGGAAGGAACGACTTATAAACGAAGCAGAGGCACTTCGCTACATCCGCCAGAACACCGATATTCCGTATGTATTATTTATCAGGGTTGTGATTTTTTCTTTCCTCGGTGTCTAGGGCGGCCAAAGCGGAGGAATAACTTCTGGGATAATGTCTTCTCACAAACCCTCCCTACACATATCCAGGGGGGCAAAGTACTAATATTTTATGTTTAGAGTCCCAGAAGTGTACTGTGACTTCGAGGACGACCAAGCGTACTATGTGATTACAGAGTACATCGAGGGTGAAGACATGGCATCACTCTCCGTTGAGCAGAAGGCTATTGTGGCGAGGGAGCTCTCAGTCCACCTAGCGAAGCTCCAGACGCTTCGGTCTAACCGGATGGGTGGGCCATCGGGCATTGTTATCCCCCCATACCGCGTCATGAGACGAACAGCAATAGATTACTGGCGGCTCCAAGTCTCCAACTCCGTCGATGAGTACGTCTTCTGCCACAACGACCTATCCCAACACAACGTCATTGTCGACCCCGACACACTCAAGATCAAGGCAATCATCGACTGGGAATACGCCGGATTCTACCCAGCCTATTTTGAAATGCCATTCTACACAAGACCCGGCCCTTCGATTGCCATCGACGGCGAGGTAGATGACTCGGAAAGGTTGCTGGATTTCCTCATGTCGAAAACCGACAGGGCTGCCTGGATGTCTCCTGGGTGGTGAGCCTATGCGTGATATTCACATCTTGCATGCAGCAGATAAGTTTTCAATGGCATTCTCGTCTTCCATGGCAAGCTTTTGCCCAGGTAGGCTGACACGGACGCAACTCAACCCCTTCCTTTGATGTTCAGCTTTGATGTTCAGGAATGGTACACTACAATGTAAGCGTGCAGGACATGGAGAAAGCCTCTCAACCGCCGAGGACGCCGGTGAGGGACGTCAGCACCGATGCTGCAAGTGCCGAAGGCCCAGCGCCGACCGCGGATCTGGGGACAGGCAGGATCTGGGAGCGGAACTAACAAAAACCAAAGACAGAGGAGAGGGTGCTCCCAAATTGGCCGACACTTGCAACATTGCAGCGTTGGTTGGTGCTTCCTGAACCTTTGGTGTGGGCAACGGGCCGAACACTGGAACGTGCAGAAATCCCAAAAAGAAAGGACCATGTCTCCCCATGTCTCCATGTTCCTTCCGATCTCAAAAACGTGAGCGACACGCCGCTCAGCATGTATGCAAGCCTCACATTTTCTCATTTCTGGTTTGCCCTGCAGAGCGACCCCACATTTCCATCGTCCGGTCCAGCTAATGCGAGACCCTGCACACACACCCGACCGCCCTGCAAAGCCCCGGCCCTTTCCTTTGTTTCCTTGCCGTTGTTGCCCTGCTCGAGCCCTGTGAGCCCGCAACCGCAACGGCATCTTGCAATCTGCCGTCTCACGCCTGCGCACGCACCACCCTCTTTTTTCTCTGTTTTGTTTCCCGTTTCGTTTCCAACCGCAGCCTTGTGGCAGGAGGGGTAAAAATTTGGACATTGTGAACATCAACGGTACATCAACACTTGCTCACCGAACCACCGATCTCACTATCGCAAGACAAACTAACCCGAAATCACCACTCCGCAGCAGCCCGGCAGTGTCTCAGACATAAGAACGGCATTTCGCAAAAACAAAAGACTTCCCATAAAAGATGAGACAAGACCTTCAATCCCACGAACGGAAAGGCGTCCATGCATGAGCTCAGACCATGTTCATAGTCCATCTAGCCAAGGACCCCCGTCTCAACCGCCAAACCACACAGTGAGCAAGCCCCATTGCAACAACCGAACAAGAGAAAAATGAACCCAAAAGCCCACACCCCATCTCAACCCAAAAGTAGGGCGACGTGGCGCACATGTCTCTGACCCAATCATACCCCCCTCCCATTCCTTTCCCCAACCACTCAAAATCCTTGAGCCTGCGACGTAACCCTCCCCCACACACACTCCCACACACAGACACCCACCACCCAACTTCCAATCTGCAACTGCAATGCATTGAAGCGGCGGCGGCAGCACCGGCAGGAGACGAGTGGGTGTGATGCGGGACAGCGGCGTGAGCGGGCAGGGAGAAGAGGGAGCGAAGGAGGATGGAGAACGGGAGATTGCGGTCAGTCAGTTCAGTCAGACACACTCATAGTCAACGGGCGCGCAACAACGACCGACAAGTGGGGCAATGGAACGAAACCTCCAAAGAACGAGATAACGGCCCGGCTGTGGGAGTTGGTTGATGAGGCAAGCCGCCCAGGGCGAGCAAATCCTCCTCCGTCAAAGTCAGATGCACGTCAGTCAGTTCAGGTCTTTTCACGCCACACCCACATTGGACTCACCCACGTTCACTCAACAGACTGGCACTCACACACTCACATCCTTCCTCGCTCGCATTCATTGCCTACCCTCGTGAACCCTTCACCCTCAAAGTAACCCCACGGGAAATGAGCAAGGGCCTTCCTTTCCAAAGTAGCGTTCCCTTTACACTACAAAGTACTTTGTACCACACCGCCCCCCCACCAATTCCAACCCGTGTTTCACACACATTGAACAATGTTCCCCTTCCCTATCTATAGTTAGTCTGATGTACCCAGTAACCGCTTTCCCAGTGATCCATCAGAAAGGAAACAGCGCTAAGTAAAACCCATGAAGGAATTTCACTCTTATTCCTCAGGGACTTGGGGGACAAGAGGTGGTATGGTACCATCCCTTATTGGCCCGCTTGTTTCGTTTTGTTTCGTCCTCTGTGAGTGAAGGTTTCGTTTCCAAGAACAGTGCCCCATCCCGATGGCTTATTCTACACCACACTCCGGATAGTGGAATAATCCCATGACTTCCCACGTTCTTGATCCCTCCTCCCAACCTGGAAAAATATCCAGATTTCAAGATCCAAACCATGCCTGAACGAAATAGATTCTCCCACAGTATCTTCGAACCTTGCCATGACTCCCTCGCTACCTGCACATAGTTACATACCAAAAGTTCCACGCTTGCAATATCGTTTCGTTATCAAATTTCCCGCTCGTCTGCCTACTCTGCCTACCTGCCTACTGTGTACCTACCGATGTATGTGTGTGTGTATGTCTGTCTGGTCTGTCTGCCTCCCTGCCTAAGATACCAGCTGCACGTCCACTCCCCTGTCTCCTGCAGTGCGTCTTGCCCAAAACTGTATCCGTACCATGTCTTCTGTGCTTGGTTTGACCAGCATGTGTTCTCCGTCACGTGGGAGAAACCCGTTTTGTCAACTTTCGACATTAGGGGATGACCATGTTCAGATGAGACTCAGCAGAGGAATCACAAATAGCTAGACAGAGGAAACATTTTTGAAGTGAAGAAGATATTTGTATTTGTATTTGGGTATCTCAAAAGCGTTCGTTATAATTTATTTCGCCACCTAGGTTCTCTCCCCAAGGTAGTAAAATAGTAAACAGACAGACAAGGCGAAATGGGTTGTTTCTTCTGAACAACCCATCCCCTTTCTATCCCCATCTTTCCTTCTCTCCAAAACGTAATAATCGTTCTTGCAGTCGGCGGCTCCAGCACGCCCGACAAACGCAATGGGCTATTGACCCAGGGTACTGTCTAAGAAGTAGTAGTAGTAGTAGTAAACGGTTCATCCTTCGTCGTATCCCATATCCCAACACATTTTGCCGCCTTCCCTAGATCTCTCCCTAGAAAGTCCACACATATTTCCAAGGACCAAAAGGGGGTATTAAAAAGATGGAAATAGAGGCGAGAAGAAAATAGAGAGAAGCCGGCGGAAAAATTCGGGCAACTCGACCAACCAACCCCCATAACTAGGGGCAAAAAACTCCTGTATCACCCCTGGCGCGCCACGCGCCTTGATCCCCCGATCCCCAAAGCGCCAAAGGTGTGTATGCTCCTGATCCATCCGGGCGCCGTCGCGTGACAAAGGGAATAATAAAAAAAGAAATAAAAGTATGAGTTACAGATTTTTAAAAATATGGACAGGCGAAAGCCATCATCCAAGGTCCTGGGGTTCCGGGTAGTAAAAGACACATCCAGAGCTCAAGAGATGATGGAGAGAAAAACAGAATCCTCGGGCCGAATAACTCCATAAGAATCATGGGTTTGCCGAGCGACTCCCACCTTGGGGAGTCGGTAACGTTGTTGTCCGTGGCCAGCGTTTGTGATGGGACGCGGTCGATAATATTGGTCCCATCACGGCCAACGGGTAAAGTGTTGCGAGTTTGGCGAGCCAGTCCGGTGGCTCCAGTAGACGAAGACCAGGTAATCCGTCCATCGGGGCGGGTCGAAGGCAACCCAGGCCCAGGATAGAGGAAAAAGGAAAGACGAAGGTGAACGCACCACCTCAGCGAGACACCGTGCAAAAAGAAACAGCGGGGGAAGCAACCTAGTAGCAGCCCTGCATGGGGGCGTACATGGGAACTTGATGGTGGAAAGGAAGCGGCTGCGGCGGCTGCGCAAACCTCGACACGTCCCAAACAAACTGCTGGAGTTGGTACTTGGGCGGCGCACACGGCTGGACGGGCACAGGCATGGCCAGCGCCGGGTCCTGGATAGCCACAGGGTGTTGTGGCTGGTACGCGTGCATGTAGTCCGGCAGTTGCTGGTGTTGGACGTGGTGGTACGAGGCCATAGCCGGCTGTTCCTCAGGTTCGTAGATTGCTGGTTCTCCCATCGGTGCTTGCGCTTGTGGTGGTGGGGTCTTGGCTTCCGGGATGTCGTCTCCCAGGAAATCATCTTCGTCGGAGTCTCCCATACTGGAGCAGGTCGAGGTGAGTGAGCCCTCGTCAGACGAGCACGACTCTCCATCAGAGGATGCAGGCGAAAGCGGCACCTCGTCGTAGTCGTCGTATTCGTCGTCCATGGCGGACTCCTCGCAAACGTAAGTGGTTTGGCCTGGCGATGCAGGCTCGGCCGACAGCTGGGCGGCCGGCGACTCGGTAAATCGGGAGCAGGCCATGATCCGAGCGCGAAGCTCGGGGATCGTGATCCTCTCGTCCGGGTTCCGGGTGAAGATCCTCCCCAAAATGTCGTTCAGTTCATCCGACACGGGGAGGATGGTCTTCAGGAAGTCCTGGCTCTTGGTGTACGCCCTGTAGGTAGAGTCCTCATAGGACGCCTGCTTCCACGGGTTGCGCCCACAGGTGAGGTTCACCAGGATCACTCCAAGGCTCCAGACATCATTAGGGGCGCAGTAGTAAAACGGCCTCCTTGTTGATGGGTCCAGACACTCTAAAAGAAAGGGAAAAAAGGAAAAGTCAGTTGGTGGTTGGGGGACGGAGGATTGAGGGGAGATTTGCGTGTGGATGGAACGGAAGCCCAAGAGGGCGGGCCGCAGAAAGGAAAAAGGACGAAAAGAGAAGAGAAGCCAACTTGTTACTGTTGTTGAAAGGACCTACCTGGAGACATGTAAAAAGTCGAGCCGCATCCGTAATCCTCGGAGCGCTCAGAAGACGTAGCCAGGCCAAAGTCTGCCAGCTTGACAGTCTCTCCCTGGTCGGAGACAAGGACGTTCTCCGGCTTCAAGTCCCGATGGTAGATTCCAAGGCTGTGACAGTGCTCCACGGCGTCCAGGATTTGAAGAAAGACCTTCCTGGCCAGCTCATCCTTACCCACGTACTGCCCACGCTCGGTGATGTTGAAGAACAGGTCACCCTCGGGGCAGTATTCCAAGATAACGTAGATGCAGTCCAGGTAGTCGATGATCTTCAGGATCGAAACGACGTTGGGGTGGTTTGACGCGTGGTAGTGAAGCCTGATCTCCCTGGTCTGGAAGGCTACCTGGCGGCGGTCCAAGGGGGTCCCGTCCGGGTTGAACTTGCTGAGGCACTTGACGGCATAGCGGATATGCGTCTTGGTGTCGACGGCCGAGTAGACCACACCGTAGGCGCCTGTCCCGACGATGCCGGTAAGTTGCAACGAGCTCGTGATGAACCTCCCTAGCCTCTCCTCCGGAGTGGCCGGAGCGAACCGGGGCAGACACGGCTGTTGAACGGCGATGTGGGGGCCGGGGATGGTGCAGGGTTGACCGAAAGCTGGCGATGCTGGCGGTGTTGGGTATCCGAACACTGATACATGCTGCATGATCCGGTCCGTCGTCGCTTTCCTCACGAACTAATCTCCTCTTGGGATCTTGGGGGCGCTGCGTTGGCAAAATGGGATCCTAGGCGTGTTTCCGGTTGGAAAATGTGATGCAGCAGAGTCCAAGAAGAGGGGACGAGAGGAAATATGAAGAGGAAACAGGACGAGATAGAGAGAGAAAACAAAAAAAGTGGATCCTTGGTATGACCCGGCAGGAAAGGCAAAATGCTCTGCTCTCTTGCTGGAATCCAAAAAGGGTCGTGATGAGAAAAATCCAGGAAAGTAGAAAACACGGCTCCTTTGTCCTCTGGGTTGGCCTTCGTAAAAATGTCCTGGGGTTGGATGGAGTGGTCCAGAACAGGGTGCGGATCCGAGGAATGTGGTCTGGTTCGCAACAACAAAGCTGAGCTCGAGCGAACGAGTCAAACTGGTCTTGGTGGAACTGTGGTTGGTCGAAGGGTTGGGTGTCAACGGGGAAAGGAGGAGAAAGGGATCCACAGTCGACCGGAAGTGCGAGGGATGGAGAGAGAGAAAGAAGGAGGCGGAGAAGGAGGCGAGCTTGTGACGAGATCGACTCCCAAAAAATGCAACTGGGAGGCGAGACCAGATGCGTTCGGGAAAAGAGGAATTTGGGAGTGAAAGAGGAGTTTTGAATGAGTGTCGAGAGGAGAGGCGGTCGGCGGTGGGAGTGAGGCGTGAAGCGATGTGTGGGCTGGACGATCGTTCGTTGATATGTCTCGACACCAGTCCTCCCACTGACTAGCCCATCTCCACCGCCCCGTGAATCGAAGCTTGGTCTTTCTCCCCCCTGCCTCTCCTGCGAGTCCTGCCCTTGCCCCCCCTTGCCCCGAATGCTGTTCGAATTGCGTGTTGCGCAAGTTGCTGTGGCTTGATTGGTCCCGGAGTTCCCATGTCTGACGGGCCCAGTTTCTCAGATGCGCCTCCTCATTGCCCAGGGGGCGGGAACAAGGGTGGAGAGCCCTGTGGGTCCTTTCTGGAGGATGTGGTACGTACCCCCCAGCCTTGACTGGCGCAAGCCAACACACCCTTCCGCTGAGAGGGACCCACCGGGTGACTGCAACGCGCCATTCCTATTCTTAATCTTGGGTGTTGCGGCACTCGGCCAGGAAGGGGCATGGCGTCGGTGGAAACAGGTGGTGGTGGGACCCTGGCTCCTTGGGCGGTCCTGCAACTGGCCCCCCCCCCGGCGGCCAAGAGGATGGGCCCGACGGCTTCGCGCTAGCGAACGGCCACAGCAATGTGTGATTACGAGGAGAGAGAGAAGCAGGCTGACACTTGCCCAGTCACGCCCGTGTGCCAGTGTTCCCGTGAGTTCCCACCCCTCGGACACCCCTCCTTCCCCACTCCCAGAGTTATGCCGCCCGATCTAGCCAAAGAATGTGCAGAATGCGAGCGGCTGTGGGCGTGAAAAGTTTGCATTGGGAGGTGTGCACTCAAAACAGTGAATGTTGAACCGAGCAAGGCCCCGTGACGGGTTGATGCCTTTGCTTCTTCTTCTCATCAACCGCAACGGGTGCGCTGGGCGCCGGCGGCTGGGATGCGGCGAAGTCGCTGGAAAGGTTTTGAGATCTGGCTTCTCCAGCGTCTCCACTGCCTAAGAGCGATGTCCGATGACACTGAGGGCGATGACAAGAAGAGGCGATGTTTTGAGTCAAGAGAACCTCGACGTTCGATTCACGAAGTGGCGACTACGTTAGCATGCGCATGGGGCCGTGAAATCCCGAATTTTCAACTACTGACTCTCTCCATTGCTCCCTGTGACGTCCCAGCGGGGCAAGAGAGTTTCCGCTGGGATCTTGATGCCAACGTTTGGTGTTGTTGTTTGAGAGCTCAATGCCCGTCCAGCTTTCCTGGAGCTTGCATTGATTGGCTGCCACACATCGGGTCTTGGAGCTGATTCAGGACGGACTCTCCTTCGAAGGTGTTGGACTTGACTCTGCAGATCTGAACAATTCCCTCTGCGGAAACGGGTGGTGGGCCGTGGTTCGGTGGTTTGGTGCACTGCGGGAGTAGGGACGAAAGGCTCGCGTTCAAGTCATGCCGTGTCTCCAGGCTTCCGGCACAGCAGCAATATGGATAAAGTGCAACGGGTCAGTCATCAGCCTGGAAAAGGCTCTGACTCGAGATAGCTCTGATACTCGATATTCGTCAGGCTGTGAACATGTCCGTGGTTCTGACTCTAGTCAAAAGTTCGTCGCAGAGTGACTTCGGAACACTAGCGTAGGCAATGGTCCAGCAACCATTGCTGTGGGACAAACCCAAGGTCACAGCCGAGCTGCGACGCTGAGAGTGGGAGACTCGCCGGGGGTGATCGGGGATTCTGTCCTGCTCGAGCCAGAGAGTGGCCAAAGCTATGGTGAGCCTTTCCAGGCTTCACCTCGACCACAACGCCCGTGATTGGCCTCGCACGCCTCGCCCGTGCTCGGTCGGTCTTGGGTTCCGTCGCACGGACGACGGTGGGCAACCGATACAACCGCCCTCCGCCTGGGAAAATCCTGGGAATCCCTCCGACAGCCGATCCAGTAGATCCTGAGCTCTTCGAAAGTGGGGGCTTTTCATCAAAGTTTGTTTTGCTCGCAGGAGAGTCCGGGTCGTTCTATTGGCCCTTCGGATCGAGAGGAAATTGAGGGACAGATGGGAATGGTGGGCTCGGGGTTGCAACACATCCAGTCTTTTAGTTGCAGGTGGGAATAGGAGCAAAAGAAGGGAACTCGCCTGCAACGAGGAGAAAAAAAGTGGAACCCTTGGGTACAAGTTTCAGGCCGCACTTTTGCGAGGCAAGAGCAGGTTGCGCAAGTCTCGAACATGCCTCCATGCCTGTTGTCGGGAGACTGCCAAACTTGCGAAGGATGGGATTTCTGATTGTGACTGGTTGACGGGCCAGGGTTGGGTAACTTCGCCCCACGTTGCGTGCATTGGCCGCCGCCTCACCACGACATCGATTCGATGGCCCGCGCTCACCGGATGCAAAAATGTGCGAAGCATGCGACCCCCCTTGTCGCCCGTTGCAGGCTCGCTGGGCGGAGCAGGGCGGGCGGGCGCGAAGTGCTTCACCAATGATTTCTCTCCCCTCTCTTGCTAGTCCGTTTTCGCACGGAGGGTCCGGCACTCATCGCACTGTCCACCGGTCAGCCACACAACCACACCACTCATCGTGGCTTCCCATGCGGGCAGCCCATGCAAGCCATGCTCCTAAGCTCGGGCCAAGACAATCAGGTGGTGGTTGTGATTTCCTGCTCATTGCTGTCTGATCAGTTGCTGGTTGCGGCAGCTGCGAGCCATCACGCCTTGCTGCTGCCGAGCGAGCGAGACCTTTTTTTGTTGCGCGTCTCGCCCGTACCGCCCGCCATGCCGAAGGTCACATTGCCCAGTTGAATTGAGCCCGCAAACAACGTTATTTTCGAGTTTGGGAATGCCGTAGCATCCCAAGCCCCTCGGCCCTCCCGGGCCTCATATTGCGGCCGCCCGATTTTTGCCCCGCGGCTAACCTCAGTCACCACCTTTCTTTTTTGCCCTTTCCCGCTGCAGTCTGATAAGCGAGCGATGGATGTTGGGGTTCAGCGCATCGGGAAGGCCTCGATATCGGGCCGCCGCATCACCAGCGGCTAACGGGGTTGGAGCATGGGTCAAAACGTCTCGTCGCGGCCTCTGATGTCAGCGGTTTATCTGATCTTCTATCCCCGAATAGGCAAAAACGAATGGCATTTCTTTGACGGCCACAATCAAACCCATCCACATAGCCGATGTCAGCAAAAGACGATCATCAACGGCCGCGTGCGAGAAAGGCTCACACGGTGTACGGGTAACTGCTAGCCGTTCTGCCGTTGTGGTCGTTCTTCGAAATATGAAGCTAAGCGCAAGGTCACTAGTGTACTTTGCTAGTGCAGGTTTATCGCCCGTGTTTCTGATATGGCCCGTTATCATGCGAGCAGATGCTGCCATCTGCCGAGCCGAGTCTGCCGCTCATCAAAACCAGATGCGAATCAAAATGGGCGGTTCTCAAGAAGGGCCTTGGGGCAAATTCCTGCCGAGCCTCCAGCCAAAGGACCCTGAGCCATCGGTTGCATCCCTGCCCCAACGAGATGGACCCGGGTCCAGGTCGTCGAGGCGAGCCTCAAGCGTGATTGGATGGAGCTTTGATCTTCATGACGACGACGAACTTGCAGGACTGGCAAAATGAGATGCTTCGAGAAACCTGAACACAATGCAAAACAGGTTCCAGCACTCATAACTGGCGGGTGTGCTGGAACTTTGTCACAGACTAGCGTAACGGCCAGTCAGTGACTGACTCTTGCTTCTGCGTCATTCCAGAAAACCCTCAGGGGAGGCAGCCCATTGAGCATCAATGAGCAATGGGATCACATCGCAAAACGAATAGTTCGCAGCCAATGACGCTACGGATCACCAGCTTCAAACCACGAGACACAACCGAATATTGATCATCATCGCACCACGGCCACGTTTCTTTGATAGAGGCGGAACTGCTCAGCCAACAAGCGCTCGGGGGCCTCCGATACGGGTTTCATTGCCGGAGATGAAGCACACCCGGCAGACCCGGGGTGGAGACCGCCTCCGAACCCCGGCACAGCCGATCTGGCCGGTGAATTTTGTTTGTTGAGTGTGGCTCGGCCGATCCAGATGCGGGGGACATCCCCGCCAGTTCGAGCCAGCCTTGCCTGCCGGCCATTTGCGCGGCTTTTTGCAGGTGGCGATCCGAATCTGGGAGAAATCTGGTCATCACCAGACGAGCAGAATCTATCACCAACAAGGGGAGAAAAGGTATCACGCCACACGACTGCGCCCATTGAGCTTTTCCGATGAGAAACGGCCATGCATCTGGACCCGAGATGATGATTCCTCACCTCATGCTCGTCATCTGTCAAACCCCCTGTCCCCTTCCCGCGATGGAGGCTGGGGGCCGATTCTGACGCGTTCTGCGGCCTCCTCGTCGGCCCGGGCCACCAGGCCGCTTCGCTGGCCAG